TACTATTTGTTTTACGGACTATTAAAGGCAGTAGTTTGAAAAATATCTATGCGTAAAAATTGTATGTAAATAGTATATCCGATTTGATAACATTTTCAAATTTTGACAATTCGGTATGTCCTTCGAATTTTCAACGTAATAAGTAACACTAAGATGGGCACAAAAATGTGAAATTCGAACATTGACAATTTTATATATTGTTTTTGTCGTTAGATCGACGTATTTTTCTGCTTGAATTTATGAAAATTTATCGATGGAAAAAAATGTACTAAAACACTTACATGTGTGCACAAGTGCCGATATTGTATGATTTTCGATTTATTATAATTTACAAACCTTAGCATTTTCTGTATAAAAAATGTTATCAACAAAATTACACATGGAAAAAACCCGAAATTTCGACAACCCACCGGGAGAAAGGCTGAACGTTTTTGAAATTTTGTTTGGCGCAATTTTAAGACTTTAGAACTGAAAATTAGCCTAAAGATAGGTCTAACAAACATCATAAACATGTGTAAAAAAAATAAATATCCATACCTAAGCTTTATCAGTGTAACTTAAAAGTAGGACAACGAATGACACGAATTTTGATTGTACCTATATATTATTAAATCATAGTAATTTGATAAATTATGTATAATTAGGACCACGTGTATAGGCATATATTTCAATCATAATAGCGCAAAGATTTCTAGTAATTTCAACCTAACAAATACACTTAGTTAACTCAGCGTCAATGGTCGCTAAGTAAAAAAAAAAAAGAAATGTTTCAACATGAGCCTTAAAATACGTGATATAATATAGGAACTAATTAAATACTATAATGTTAATGGTCGATGTATATTAATCATACATCATTGTCAACAATAAAATCAGTCGACATATAAAACCATTCATGAAAAAATCTATACTTAATTTACTTGGCCGGAAGTCGTAAGTTTGTTTTCAAACTTCCTATACAGTAAATATAGCACTTGTTATCATAGGGTCATAGTAAAAAAACTATAGCAGGAAAAAAATTCAACTTTTACACTTCCAACATGCCAGTGTATCTTTACACGAACCATTCACTCAAAGTTTCCTCTTAAGTTAAGATTTTGAAATTTTAAACATAGATTAAGCAGGAGTAGTTTAGTATACTACTAAAAAACTTGAGCCCTTAACAGTAAGTCTTTTCAAAAGGGAAAAATTGTTTTCTATATTTCACTTTTTCAATCAAAGTTTTAGGGTTTGAAAGGTAATCTAATATGGGGCTCTAGCACATACCGATTTCTCAAAAACCTGTAGTCAAACTTTCTTTTAAAAATGAAAACCCCCAAAAAAGGGAAAAATTACACTTTGACTAAAGTAAATGTCTAGGTTACTACGTGTTAGTGAATGAATAATAAACAGGCAATGAAAAACTTGTCATTATATTGTTAACTACGATAGTTACTAGGGAAAACTGACGTAGGACGTAAAAATATTTTTATATTTGATTTCAACTATCCAGGCGTTCCTGTCGATCTGCTTGCGTCTAATAACCTCTGTTCCTTGGCATGTCACAAATAAAAACTTACACAAAGAATTAAACATATCAACGCTGGACCAATTGACAAATTCGCTTTACCCAAATTTCCATTTAAATCTATGTACTCGTTCTAATCTCCCAATAAAGCAACTATCCTCTTGTTTGATGGAACAAACTCTTGTGAAAAAAATTTATCGTGGACCAAATGTAGATTGGAACAACTACAATTTGGACAAAGCGTCCGTTGGTATAACTATTTAGCGTGAAAAAAAGCGGTTGGAACAATGGAACAAGCCATGATCTTTGATAACAGTGTCTTTGGAACAAATGTCTCATAGAATAAACAAATTATGGAACAAAAGTGATCCATCGTCGAGGAGATCATTGCGTTAAATTTTGTATTTCTGCGCTGCCGCTATTCGGTTTAAACTTCAGTCTTCAAATAACATGAAGATGTTCGCGGTGTTGATCGTTTGTCTGGCGCTGGCGGCCGCGTGCCATGCCAAGTGCGACGACGCCACTTGTCAGCGGCTTTGTTTACGGGGGCGAGCCAATGAATACAAATGCGCGAAAACCAGACTTGGACCAGACTTGTATTGCTGGTGCTTCAATACGTTGAATAAAGGAGTTTCAGACAATCCAACTATGACAATCTAACCGATTTCGAATTCCAGTGCCTTGACCAATCAGAATTCAGAAATGGCTGTAAATTTGTCTTAAATATATTAATATAATATAATATTATGTTCAAATAAAAGCCATAAGAAACAAAAAATCGTAAGTTACCGTCCGTATCTTATTTTGTTAATCAAATCCATTATTGTCGTTTTGTAATTTTTATAAAGTTATTGTACTCATAAATAAAAGCCTTCAATCAAAAGCACTGTCCGTCGTTGACAAAATATATTTGGTTTCTAACAGCCTAGTTGGAAATACTCATTTTCTTCGTATTCGTATAATTCATTCAACGTATGGACAATCAAATTTTGTATCGCTTAAAAAAAATTGCATTGTTACATATTATAATATATGTGTCACATATTGTGGCACATTGTACGGGTAATTTGTCACTAAAAATCTACGTTAAGCTAACATTTGTTAACATAATATATAGACTTAAAAAACATAAGAAAGGATCTGTTTTGGTATTTAATTGTTTTCTTCAACTATCATAATTCATAACGCTTACAGGCTCTATTTTTGTACAAAAATATAAAAAAATATAACATTAAATCGATCGTACATTTTTTAAACTTTATTCTCACATAGGTATATATTACATTACAGTCGCTTTGGTTTTTTATCAGGTGCGGGTGACACAAGGTCATATTGGATCTGCGTTTATCATAATTTGTCTTCAAAAGTAAAAAACATATGTAAAATTAATAATGCGTACAAAAAAAAAAAAACGAAAACGCAAAGCCAGGGGCTCTCTGTATTTTATGTTTTCTTTTTTGCCTATTATGCATTGTCGAAGCATAGTTGATGGTTTATTTTTATAAAATTTATAAATTATAATAATAATAAGAAGAATAACAACAACAATAATAAAGAACCGTTGTGGTTAAACCATGTTTGTCCTAGCCAAAGGACGGTTGACGAAAAAGACTAGTTTAGGATACACTTGCCGCTGTGCAAACTTATCTGGCAACGACTGTACCTACCTACAATTCATATACAGGTGCGTAAAAAAAAAAATTACTGTTGAACCATAACGGTAAAGTTTCGAGTTAAAAGATAAACACTAAAGGTAAGTATTTTTTTATACTAAATTATTTTTCATCGGTAAAAGCATGAACTACTTCAAGGACGAAGTCAGCTAGGAGTCGTTCGGTTTGACTTTTTCTATGTGCGATTATATTAAGTACAAAACTTTAAACTACAAAAAGACAGCACAGTGGGGTCGAGGCATAATGGTACTCAATTGTTTTGTAAACAACTGTTTTACAGGCGACGAGTATTCTTACACATAAGTAAACCAACAAAATAGTATTATACAATATGGATAATTTAATAAAATCTGGTTTGATATGTTGTAACGCAAACAAATTCTAAAAAGTCCATCTCTTCTCTTTCGAAATCGAGAAATGAGAATAGCACCCTAAATATTTCACCCTACAAATTGTATGTCCTAAAACTACTGCGTGGTCTATTTTATTTTTGAAATAGTTAAAACTACTTCCAAATTCGTATATAATATTTTTAAAGTATAGTAGCATTGATTATAAATAATTATTATTTAAAATCAAAGATACAGGATACTACGTATATTCGATACGAATAAAAAAAAAAACATTATAATCGACAATTTGATTTATTTTGCAACAAATGTTTTTTTGTCGCAAGGTTAAAATATCTAGGTTAAATATTTACCGTCTTTTCAAACTACTGTACCGCCACCTTTACATAGAATATAATAAAAACATTTACCAAAACGTATTTCTTGTGAAAAAAAACTAATTTAATTAAGTATATCGCGATAAATTGTGTAGTAAAGAGCAATAGGACAATCGAGCAAATGAATGTGCCTACAATATTGAAAACAAATCGATACTTATTATAAAATATATACTTCATAACAAGTTTAGACCACCCCTACTAAGGTCTTAAGCTTTCTTAGGCAAACTCTCATTAGGACTCATTAGAAGTTCATTTTTCTATTATCGTAATTAGGTCCGGGACAGTATTTTTTTTTCTTCACAGTTCCGAGTTTATCGTGTATCTTATCAGCTACAGGTTAGCACAGTACACTGCACAACACTTTTTTTTGGTCGGGTTAAATGCAACTAATTAAAGGTAGTCATTTGAAATATAGCCCATACCCGTGTATGTACAAAAATTAAAAAGTGTTTATTTAAATTGATATTAAATCAATCGATTATAGATGGATTGTCAAAGGCAAATAAGATATACATTTTGTACAAGACTTCATTCATGAAAAAATTCCATCATAAAACAATAAATATTGAGAATTTTTAAACAAAATTTTACTTATACTTATACTTATGATACTATTTTTACTAAAAGTTTATAGTCTAATATGATATTACTTAAAAAAGGTCTTATAGTATTTAAAATTTTAAGTTTATATATCTGAACTCGATTTCATAATTTTTTAATTGTGGCAATTATTTAAAATGGCCTATGAATTTTTATATGTGAATTATTTAACAGCCAACAAGTATGTGAAAACTACATTCATACATTATATGTATGAATGTATTCAATACATTATATTGTTGATTACAAATTATTGTAGTCGTAAAATGAAAAAACACTTATACCTCAAAGGGGGAAGGGGTTTGGCGATTTTAGGTTTTAGCCTATTGTTGTGTAGAGAAATACATATAACTCAAACCAAATGCGATCCACATTATTTTTGTGACATAATAAATATGGCATAAGTAAAAAACCAAACTCAAACAAATACTACCTATAATTTACCTAGAATATGATGTATTTAACTCTTATTGTAATTTTTTTTTTCCACTCTGTAAATTTGTGGTAACTTTTGTTTACTTAAAACAAAAAAGGTTAAGTCGACGTGTTCAAATGTAAAATCCATTCTGTATTCCATTCCGTATTCCATTCCGTAACTTATTCTGTCTTGTTCTTGAAGTGCAAAGTATTAAATACCAACGATGAGAGCTACTATTTTTTTAATTTTTATAGTGTCTTTTATAGGAGCTGGCCGTCGATGTTGCGAAGGTAAACGTTCAAAATGTTTTCTATATTTTTATGTATAAGAAGGTGGGTATAAAATAAAATTCACTAATTTTTAAATCGAGAAGCCAAAAAAAAAATCTGCGTTAAACAACTCATTTTTAATTATAACTGAATTCTGAAACGAGTAATCTGACATTAGTTTAAAAAAAATAAAAATATTTTTCAATAAACGCTTCAAGCGTCGATTAATGATCATTTTTATTTTCTACTTTAAAACAATTCTAAATAATATTAAAAATCATTAAGAAATTCAATTTTAACAACTAAACCATTTTAAAATTATGTCACGATCGATGCCTTGTATTTATTACAAAGAACTTGAATGGTTTTCTAAAACTTATACTGGAGTACAGTTAGGAAAGTTATGTTAGAGGTAAAAACTGATTTATCGATTTTAAAGGAGAGAGGGTGAAAATGTTAATTTTTTGCCCATCAAGTTTGTTTTCAAATACTATTCCTGATCTATAGTGTAAACTTTATATTCTTTATCCTTATGGTTCAATACAACTTAACCATTTGTTTTAGGTTCGGAAATAAAAGAAGAAGATTTAAAAAAAAAAGACGTAGTCGGTGCTTATAATTTACCTAACAGTAAGTATAATATATTTATTTCAAGTATTTAAAAAAAGTACATCGGTTGTATAATTATTAAAGTTTATTCTAAAAAAATAAATTAACAGTTTTTACTTTTTTTTTTATAGTTTTACTAAACTAACAAAATTTAGTTGTAATCGGAAATGGGCAAATTATAGATTAGTAACGAATACAAACTAAAACAATTCTGATAAATGGAATAAAAAATTATTTAATTTTGAATAAATAAGTAATTTTTTTATCATAAATGTATTGCTAATTTAGAGATATGTATTATGTAATTAAGTTATTCCATTTTAGTGATTAATGTTTTAGTCATATTTTGAATACATGTATTGAAAACAAAATGTTTAATAAGTATATTACCTAGTTTAAATCTATAAATTATATATCATGTATTAACATAAATAATTACTCATAATATTTTCCATTTGGTTGTTAAAGATTATCTCTTAATAGTACCCTTTAAAAATATTTTAGATTTGTCCAATTACAATTATATATGCTAATATACAATAAACCAATTTCTTTCGATACAACAAATAACTTCTCTTAACATAACTAATACTAAACATTTAACTTAAGACTACTTTTAAATTAACATAAACTATATACAAACGGATCTATCTTATATGTATTAGCTAATTGTAACAAACGGTGAATTTGACACTAAAAATGTGGTACCTGAGTTAGGGTAGAATAAATCGGTATTGCGTACATTTATCTTAAAATTTATCAATGCTAATAATTCAGAATAAGTTGTACAATTATTTATCAGTTTATACAAAAAGATTAAATCCGATTTTATACGTCTTATTTCTATCGTGTCTATATGATGAATGTGGAGTTCTGTAAATATTGCAATTAAGAGAAATAAAACGTAGAAATCGATTTTGAATGGATTCTAAATCCTGTATTAAATAAAACTGATGTGGTGACCAAAGAGATGAGTTGTATTCGTGACAGGATCGAACAAGAGAACAGTAAAGTGTTTTTAAAGTTATAATTTTATTGAAATTATTGCAATGTCGTCTGATAAAACCTAACTGTCTTGCAGCCTTATTAACAATTATAGAGATGTGGCGGTTAAAAGTTAAATCAGACGAAAATGTAATTCCCAAATCTTTAATATGTGCGACGTTTGGCAACACAAAGTTTGATATTGAATAAGAGTATCTTATAGGTACCTATACTTGGAATAAAGCCAACATTTTTATGAAGAATATTAAAATTTTCTAATTACCTATTTGTTTATCCTACAAATTTCAAATTCCTTTATCTTTGAAGTTACATTTCTTCAGTCATCGAGCAGCCGTTTTTTTATGGTATTCAAATATCCTGAAAAACCATTGACTATATATATATATATATATATATATATAATTATTATATATGTATAATCAATTGTATTACGTAATTATAATTAAGAACATTTTTGTTTTATACAGAAATTCCTAAATCCACACAGATGTACTCTACGTACCTACTAAACAAAATAAAATCATAACTTTTGTTTTATTTCAGTGTTGTCCGTGGGATTTAATATATCGTTAACAGATACATCGAACGTAAGGACATATGCATTGGTAAAAGAAGGTGAGGAGTATGAGTAGTATATATAGATAAATTTAAACTAATATAATAATTGTCTTTACTTACAGATAAAAAAAGTCCGTTTCCAGGTTTAGGTAATTATATTTATTTTGTATATAAATATATAAAAAAAGCCAGTACAGTCGCTGCATAATGGAGACGGGGAGGTCACAGGTCTACAGGAATTATTATAACTGAAAGTGATAAAACCAATTTTGAATAAACGCTTCGGTGCGAATCTGTGAATAGTAGATTCAGCCTAGTACAGTCTTAATTTTTAATATAAGGGTGTAAACAAGTATTACCATAGTTACCCATGTATCATAAATAAAAACATAATGAATATATTTTTATTACCTGTTGACTGTTGATTCGCACACATAGCATCCTTTTTAGTAAAACTGACTACGGTCAAAGTGTAGTATTTTTGGATTTTCCTTAATAAAAAAAAAGTTTGACTATAGACATTTGATAAAACTGTATATGTTATAGGACCATTCTAGATCTAATTTTCAAACCTAAATCCCTAAAACTTTGTATAAAAAAGTAAAATTAAGAAAAAAAATTCATTCCATTATAAGGGAAATGGTTAATGATATTTTTTTGATTTGTCAATGAATTTCGAAAGTACCGTGTTAAAAGAATATTTGGACTAATTCGACTATTTTTATAAAAGTTATAGAACATCGTAATTTTAAGTTGAAAAATATGTAAATTTGTTGGGCGTTTTTCTCGATTTTTAAGGGGAAAAGGTGAATTTTTTAAATTTTTGGACTCTTTAAAGTATCTAACAGGTACGATTTCTAATCTATAGAGTTGCTACACGAAAAAATCGGCTTAGCGTCTTAGAAGATATTGTGGGTACAGACACAAAATATAAAAAATAAAAACACATAATTGTAAATACAATGCATTCTCAGCTCCGCATCGAAGCTAAAATATGTCTTGTATCATATTCAAAATGTATAAAAAACTATTGCGTAGTAAAGTCAATTAATTATTGTGTGACTTGTTTAAAAAATGAACAACTAATGTTTAAAGATGATTTTTATTTTAAAGACATAAACAAATATTAATTATTTTACAGGGTTTTAAAAATAGACCTTCAAATTATCTTTTAATAAATATTTAGTTAAGTTCGCCATGTGTTTAATTAAAATCACTATCTGTTGAGTAAAGAAAAAACAATATTGTAGCTTTCCTATTTGTTAGCTCATAGAAGTACTCTTAATATATTAACTATAACATTTTAACGTTGGTTTCATTTCATAATTTGTTTTTATCATAATTTAAACAAAAATTAACTTGCTTACAACTTATAAACCTAAAAGTATATTCCTATAAACCGTATAAAATGCTTTTTTACAGACATTCTTGCACGGTATACACCCGAGTAAGTAATCATTTTGTATACTAGTAATTTATTTTAATTTTATATTTCCAAATAGTTTTAAAGCTAATTTAACTTGTTGAAATATCTAATGCATTATTAAGGCTTTTACTGTGTTTAGTGAACGACTTATGATCTATAGATTGGCTATACATTAGATTATAAATTGACTAATGTCGTTTTTCGTTTAATTCGGAATCAAAATTCAAATTTACGTTTATTACATTTACGACAAGTAGCGTTTTTTCGATATCTTTTTATAATAAGTTAATTAATGGTTTTCAGACATAAGGACTACAAAAAGTACCTAAAATTCGTTGCACCGGAATACAAAACAGGTCATTCAAAAGTCATAATATTTGTTTAAATAAGTATAATGTTATATAAGTATAATAAGTATAACTATATATTAAATTAGACTCAAGTATTACATTTCTTATCCTAATGTTTGAATACAAATTTATCATTTATTTTAGGTTCGAAAAAAACATTAAAAATAGGTGACACTGTCGGTGTTCGATTACCTAAGAGTAAGTATCATCAATTTATTTCATTAAAGTTTATTCTAAAAAATAAAATACATTTTTTTTTTACTGTTAGGTTAGGTCATGTTAGTTACATACTAAATAATATAGTATAATAAGCATTATACATAAGGCTTTTTTTATTTCAGTTTTCAAGACTGGAATGGATGTTTATACATATCCAGATGAAGAAATAACATATGATATCGTAAAAGTAGGTGAGGAGTCACAATGGTATTTGTAATCTTAGGTCATTTTATTTTTAGTAAAATGATTTTATTTTTCTTGCAGATGGAGTATCTCCGTTTCCATCTTTACGTAATTATACATATTTTGTATTTATATACTTAATAAAATACGACTTTATCATATGAAAAATGAATAAAAAAAGATTAGGTGGTAAAAATCACTTAAAAATTTTGCAACTTTATTACTAATATATAACTTAATTTTTAGTTGTATCTAAAACTGATTTAGAGTTTTATTTTAAAGAGTTAAATAAATTTTAAGTACAGGTAAACCTAAAAGAATGTACCTACTTATAAAATTATTTTTACAGCAATTCATGAACATAGGCCACTCGTAAAAGTAATTATTTTGTATATTAATTATTTATTTTAATTTTAGATTTTCAAATAATTCTCTAACTAAGTTAACTTGTTAAAATACCTAATATATTATTATTTTGGCTTTCCTAATATATAATATGTTTATTATATGCTTGTTATTGAATGACTTATTATCTACAAATTGGGTATAAATTAGATTATAAAGTAATGTCATTTTTCGTTTTACTTTGAATCAAAATTTTAATTCACGTATCTATATGACATTTACGACAGGTAGCATTTTTTCAATATTATTTTATAATAAATTATTTAATGGTTTTTAGAAAGATGTATAACTACAAGTTAAGTCAACTTGTAGTATGAGCAGTTCCGGAATAGGTAAAAAAAATCGTTAAATATTTGTTTAAATAAGTTAAATTTTATGTACAATAAATAAATATATATAAAATATAATAAATATTACATTTATTTCACTTGACAAAGGTACAAACTACAATTTTTAATATTAGAAATTGTACATTTGTTATATTTCTTTTCTACAGAATTTTATTTGTTACATCATTTTGTTTTATCTTTGTTACATAAATAAGGGTTCACGTAACCATGTTTTTATCTAATGACTCATTATGAATGTTATTTTTTAAAAATATTTTACCTAATATTGAATATGTTTAACAATAATAATATCTTATGAATTTGTGTTGTGTGAGAATATTAAAATACTAAATGTACTATTACAATAATTAAATGTATGTAACATATTTTTTTCTGAAAATAAATTAAAGAGTTTTATCATATTAAATCGACCTGGACATTATTTTATTATAATATATTGTATTCGTGTGCAGTAATAATTAAATCATTTAGTCGAATGTGTATGAATTATATGATAATACTAGTATGATATTAACATTTAAATTTTTAGTTTTAACATAATTACTAAAAAATATATCATCTCATTTGAAAATCAAAAGTTGCTATCAAAAAAAATAATTTAAGAGGGGGTAAGAAAATAGGAATTCATAAACGTTTTTGGAAAAGTTATACAAAAATAATATAGAAAAAAAAATTAATTTTTAATTAAACCCAGTGAGATACTGAGTGACTTAAAATAAAAAAAAATCATGCAGAATATTATATGACTTACCCCGTGAGATTCTGATAATTAGTGGACTTGATGATTTGTCTTGGCTTAAAATATTCATACAGTTATACAGCCAAAATTAAAATAACAAAACCGTCCAACTAGTCGAGCAAAGACGGAAAATTACATTTTATTAATTAATCTAATAAAAATGTAACAAAATTCATAACAATTTAAACAACTTTTTTAAACATTTTAGTACAAGTTATAAGTACAAAATATGCAAAAATAATATTCGTTAATTATTAATTGAACAAAAAATAACACAAACAAATAAATATTAAAAAAAAAAAACTAACCAAAAACGAAAAAATGGTAAATAATTAACTTTGTGAATTAATTATCAAAAATGTATTAATTAAAGAACCTGTATTATGAAATTATATAGAAAAATAAACAATACATGAAAATCAAAAAATGATTACTAAAATTTTAAAGTTTAGTTAACATAATAACAAACGAAAAAAAAACAATAGTTTTATGGGAAAATTGAATTGAAAGACTTAAGAGTATAACAAAAGTCAAAAACTAAATATCATAAAAAACAAATAAAACCAATAGCAAATTGAGAAGAAATATGAGACAAACACGTCGGCCAAAAGACCTTAGTCGTCGGCCTGCGGCTTTTTTACCTCGCTTCCACAACGATCCTCGACGGGAACTCTGGGAAGTTACAGGCGCCTCTTCATACTCCTGGTCCTGGTCGGGTTAGGTTCGGTTGAAATAAGTCGTTCCGCTTGCCAATGATATGATAGTAACCCGTCCTGGTGTTCCAGAACATATGAATCGGACCGAACCTTCCAAGTCCCGAGTTCATAAGTCCCATATCGCCAGCTGCCGGTTCACCCGAAGTCCGAGGAACTTGGCCAGGTGAAGCTGACGTCAATATGACGCGAGCTGTGGATACACCGCTGAACGGTGGTTTATCGAACAGCCATTCCCTGACCGTTTCCTTTTCCATCCTCAATACATCCGAAGGGGAAAGGTTTTTATATCATATGTTTTAAATCAAACATATGGGGGATATTATTTTCGATCGTTTTTTTTGGATTCTAAACTGTGTCACCCCGGAAGCCGCTACTTGAAAATCATTTTTTTTTAAACTTTGGAGAGGCGTCCAAATTATGTGATTACTAATTTGTAAAATTAAAAATACTTAGATTGTTTTTCAATTGAATTTACGATGTGCGGCTGCGAGGGTTATGCGTCTATAACACATAAGTGTTTTCTTGATTTTGAAGAATAAACATAAAGTGTAAGAATGTTAATTTTTTTCTAAACAAAGTTTCTTCCAAATACTATTTTTGATCTATAGAGATGCATAAAAAAGATGAAACGTAGACGGTTTAGTGGTTTATGAGATATCATGGGTCCAAAGTCTAAACACATTTAGAAATATTGTTAAAATAATACTATCTCAACTCGGCGTCGAAGTTAAAACTGTTATTTAACATAAACCAAAATAACCCATAAAATAAACATTTAGGTATCTTTGTTTTTAATTATTGAGTAAATTATACGTAATAAAGGGTTTTCAAAATTTTCAACTATTATCCCAAAATCCGTCCAAAATGAAATAAATGTCTTAAAAAAATCGTAGGATAATGGCTGTATAACCATTTAAGTTTATTCTAAAAAATGTAATAAAACAGTTTTTTTTGCAGTTAAGTAAGGTTATGTTAGGCTCATATTTTTATTTTAATATTATTCTTATACAATTTTGATATTTTTAATTGAATTTTAAAATGACTATAGAATATTTTTAGCTTCAATGCAGACCGGCGAAGGTATTGGTTTTACTTTGATGTGGGCTTTTTTTATCTGTATACACTGTAACTTTTTTAATACTGAATCTTTGTGAACAATTACTGAACCTTACTGAACAATTCCTTTGTGGTTGTGTTGAAAAGGTTATGAAGAAATCATTGCCAAAGTTGTCAATTTATATTAAAAAATAACAAATTATTTAGTCGCCATAAAAATGAAAAACAATTTAAAAATTATTATATGGCTTCATTAGACACTGCCGTTGGACGGAATAAATAAAACTAATACTAAACAACTGTCCTATTTTTTCCTTCAGTGGTTGTATAGTTTTAAGATTTTGATGGAATTAAAAAAATGTATTATACGATGTACATCTTTTTTTATATTTTAGTTAAATAATTTGATATTTTAGTAAATTAAAACGAGACAAAAATTAGTTTTAAACAATTATTAAAAACGAAGCTAACGACAAACCGACGTTCAACCAAAACCTATTAATTCAACAGTGGATATTTATACAAAAATTATAATAACCCAATTTATCTAACTAATTGATTTAAAGTCTTTCAAATGCTTTACGGTTATTGTAGAAATCTCATTTTTTTTAAAAATATTTCAAAAGGCTACAGATCTTATGATTGACGTTATAAATTTCCAAGTTCAGTCAAATTCTCTTTTACCAAAAAAAAGCATAACTAAATTAACATACAGGTTGCTATAAGAGATTCCAAAATCACCCCTCCCTAAATCTTGTTACCCGAGGGCGGAAAAATAACAATGACCTTGAAATATCATTGTATGGTAAAAAATAAAAAATGATTCACATAGGCGGTTTTATCATAACTTTAAAAAAATCGTCAACAAGTCATGTTGGCCATGAAATTCTAAAGACCATGAGTATTTGTCGTACACCGTTTTTAAAATGCAAGTTTTACATGGGTATCTAAAAAATAGACCAGTCTTTTGGCTTTTTATAATATTTTTAACACAAACGAGCACTGTATTTCATTTATGCAAACAGTGCAAAATTTAAACGCACATCGAATCACACAAGTGTTTTTCTAAAGTAAAAGAATTATGTTTTCGAGTAAACGCTTGGACAAGAATTCAGTAAACGATAATTAATTTTAAAAAACCAGTACGCACGGATGAAATGAAACTTCTTTCAGAGTCATTCAACTGATACATTAAACTAGCATTATCATATTATTGGCCATACTGTAATTTTTAATCACATAATAATGAATTCCAATAAGAGTTTCCAAAAATTATTCAATTTTTTATTGATTTGGTAATCTGGTAAAAATGTCTTATGTATTTTTTGTTATTCCATTCTTTATACCATGGAGTTCATTAAAAATATGTTGATAATACCCCTTGTTTGAACAATTTTATCTAATTAAATTTAAAAAATGCAATTGATCACCAATTCTTTGAATAAAAATCCACCGTCAGTTGTTCCCACATGTTGGCCGAACTCAATAAACACAAAATTACAATTATAATATATATATATATATATATATATAGGTAACGTTCAGCGTTCGCATAGATTTTCCAATTGACCCCCAATGACATATCCATGTTAAAAAAATTAGGGGCCTCATTTTAGGTCAAGGCGAACCAATAAGTCCACTGATCAACGAAATCTCGCAAAAGCCTGTTATTTATACAGGGTGATACATTAATGATAATACGCTTATTTTTTTTTTTGAAAACATTTTTTTACACAAACTGAAGTGTCTCCAATTACCAAAACTACAAGAATTACAGGTTTTAGTAGCAAATTTGAAGGTACATGTATATTATTGTAAGGTGTATGTTTTACAACGTTATATTATTTTGTTTTCATTATCGACCAGCAAAACGTAGTCGAAGTAAACGAATGTAGCCAAATAACGGCTGAAAACGTTTAGTACTTTTTCTGGGGGTCTAAAAAAAGTGGACTTTTTAAACTCAAATGCAAACTTGTACGTTTGATTTTCTTTTTAAATAAAGAATAATTTGCCGAATATTTAGAGCAATCTTTAGCAATTGATATTTTGATTATTTTTTTATGCTAACTACTCAAAGTAACGATAATTATGTAAAATATTGAAATTTGTCATTAACAGTCGAACAAACGGTGGCCTTAGTTGACAGTTGTTAAAGTATAATTATGATGTGAGTCTTCTTTTTTTTTTGCGATTCAGCTGCTACAGTTGACTATACACAAATAAAAATGTATACGTCTTGGGACAAAATATATATTACCTACATTTTTTTTTATGTAACTTACTAAAAGTTGTAACAGTAAATCATTAAAAAGCTCTCTTTATTGTAATTTAATACATAAAAAAAAGGTAAAGGAAATAAGTAAAAGAATTCAAAATCATGGATAAATGCAAAAAAATGTAAAATCGTCATTAGCGGTTACAATTTATTAAATCTTTTAAATATAATTTGATCAGCTCCAGAAAATATTTATGTCAACTGATTGCATAACGATATGAACACAGAACATTGTTGTGTCGCTTTTGACTTATTGACTTCGAATAATAGTTTCTGAAAAACCCTTAGAGATTAAACTATCCTTATTATCGTCATACTGGTTAAAATTGATTTGCCAATTTTCTATGACACCCTCAATCGCTACATTAATATAATATTAAGTTATAATCTAAATTTTATGATTACTAGTATTGTCATTTGGGTAAAGATGGAGTGGACATAAATAGCTATCACCTAAAATTCTGGTGTCTGGCTGAGATTTAACTAAGTAGCTTAAAATTAAAACAACAAGCATCTGGTAGCAAAAATAATTGCAAAGTATTAAAATTAATCATTTGGGAGCAGGTTTAATCTTTAAATTGAATTTCCTCAAAAACATGATTCGTACTAATTGTATGCAATAATTATAGGCTAATTTTAAGTACATTATTGCCTCCACAGTGCTTTTATCAATACCTACCTATTTCATATTTCTACTAAATAAAATATACTATCGGCGGCAATGTCACATTAACAATTTTATGCCTTTTTTATGAAAATTATTTTATCAACCAGCAATTGTTTTCGTCTTAACTTCTTCCGTTTATCTTTCCTTTAATCCTAATTATTTTTATTACAATTTTCGCTGTTTAAATACTATTTTAAAACATTATCGACATTTTAAAATTAGCAGTATTTGCTTCGTTTGATTGTCAAACCGCAAAAAACTTCATCACACATCCTGATTCTAGACACAGTGATAGTTTTTATAAATTGTTTTTCCAATATGTACTGTTTTTTTTAAATTAGTATAACTCAGTACATTTTTAAGATACGCGGTTCTAACTACTGGCGTTTAGAAGAACATGAAAAGACTTTCGAGATCGATTATAGCTATAGTAAAGTTTTTACTTATTAAAAAAAAAGAGTTGTGTTTACTTAGTATGCCATAAGTTTTTTTTAGAATGGGGCACATAAAATTTACTTAAAAATCTGTAGTGAAGCTTTGTTTTATTAGGGAAAAACCAAACTAAAGGGGGGAATTACGATGTTACGGTAGTAGGTTTGTAGGTTGCAATGAGTAAGGGTGAATCAACAGTCAACAGCTGGTATCTGAACTATATTTGCATTATGGTGTAGGTTTTTTTTTGTCTGTATAGACTGCTACTTTTTTAGGGGTGCAAAGTTTTTTGGGTTTTTAGCCGTAATTATAAGACCTATTAGTCGAAAACATTTTTCAGGAGTCAGAACTCATAAAATTATGTATTCATAACATATCAGACGAATAAAAAAAATTCGGGAGTACATTTTTTTTTAATTGCCGGAAAACTGTTTTTCGCAAATGTTAAATGTATAAAAAAAAAATTATCAAATCATGCCAATATTTTAACGGATACTATTTAGAGTGGTCCCGGTGAGTTTTGAGTGCCCAAGCATAAGTTTTAGGTTTTAATGACATTTTTTAAAAGTGATTTTATCACATTCAGTCAGTTCGGTCCAACTTAAGTCCCGACCCCAATTTTAATGGCTTTTTCCCTTGTGAATATTTGAACTATTTGTTTTACGGACTATTACAGGCAGTAGTCGTACAATAATACAATATCTATGTGCGCAAATGGTATGTTAATAGTGTATCCGATTCGATAACATTTTCAAGTTTCGACGATTTGCTATGACCTTTGGAATTTCAATGTGTAAAAAGTAACACTAAGGTATGCAAAAGAAAATAAAAAAAATTGGAAATTCAAACATTGACAATTTTATCCATTGTTTTTGTCGTTATATCGACGTATTTTTCTGCCTAAAATGTATATCGATGGAAAAAAAAATGTACCCAGACATTCGCATGTGTCGAAATTTTATGTTTTTTTAAAAATATTTTCGATTTATTATAACCTTAGCATTTTCAATATAAAATGTGCTATCAACAAAATCGCACATGGAAACCCAAAATTTTGACAACCCCCCACCCCCTGCGAGAAAGGTTGACATATTTTTGGCGCATTTTTAAGATATAAGAACTCATAATTAGTCTGAAGATAGGTCTAACAAACAACATAAAACATCAGTGTATTGTATTTATGAATAGAACGTTTACTTTTTTGTTTTTTAATTCTGTAATTCGATTTAAAGTTTTTTTTTTTGTAGATCAAAGTAGGACAACGAATGATACAAATTTTGGTTATATATTTTATTTAATCACATATCCATCTTAAGTAAGAGGAGTGCAATCATAGTCATCGTGTTGATGATAAAGAATATTGTCAATCGTATGGTGTCAAAATAATATTTATCGAAAAATATAAGAAAAACAGTAAACTCAGACTCACACTTTGGTCAATTACAATTACAATTGTAATTACAGCTATACGTTTTTGGGTAAAATTTTGAAAACGTTTACTCGTTTTTGTTATTATACCATCTAGTACGTAGTAGTAATGCTTATAACGTTTTTTTTTCTCATTTAATATTATTTGTATATCAAACAGGTATGAAAATTGTGCTAAAAAAATTGTGTTTTCGTGTAAACGCTTAGGCGAGAATTCGATAAACAACACTTTAAATCATATTTTTTTTAAATATTCGTTTACTTTTGAACTCGGTCTCACTTTTAAATCACGTGCGCTGATTTGCGAAAATATACAAAAACGTTGCTAACAATAAATTGTAATCATTTATAAACCGCAATGGCCTAAAATGAAACCACCGATTTCTAAAATCAGCGAAATGATTGGATACAAAAATATAGGATACAAGCATACAAAGTAGACATCAAAATAATAAAAGTAACCGCGTAAATAAAAATAACCATCAACAACACCAAACAAAAATATTAAATAACTGGTTAACTACTTTACCTTTAACCCTAAAAGTGGTACTAACGTCCCTCAAAGAGTTGAGACTAAAAGTGTATAATATTGAGTTGTTTTATAATTATTATTGAAGATGATGTATTTATATGTTTTGCCCCTTTAAGAAATACGGTATTGGCAACAGAACATACACCAACGCCATAACTAATAGTAACGTTCTGTTATCAAATAACGCTAGACCGCGGTTTATTGCTAACTTCATGCACGTAATTTCTAACAATTTTGATTAATATTTTTTAACCAGAAAATCGTCGTTACGGTTTTTTGAGGTTATAATAAAATATCGAAATCGATATCCTGAAAAAAGTGTTCATTATAAATTAAAAACTACGGCTCTAGTATTTTATTACCGAGGAAAAATGAAAAAAAGACCTAATAAAATAATTTTATTAGTCTGAAATAATATTACGTTTTCAGATTAATTACATTAGTTATAAACTACTATAGGGAATCAATACTATCGATATAATTTCACATCCAATTCGATTGTGTTGATATCTTTCGAGTCCGCGTTGCAAATTGTTTTCCTTCTCACCAATCTACTTGGAAGTGGTTGTCGATTGGCATTTTTTTTTCTAGTTAATTTGTGTATTCGAGTAAAGTTTGAACTTCATCGGACTTCATTCGACAATTCAATTATGGTAAGCTTGTGAACATTGTTTTTCATTTAACAAAAAGTATTAGAAACCATGTTTGTATTTCACGTTGTAAGGAAAGCACGATATTTCTAACCTTATAAACTCCATGGCCCACATGGTAAATTGTAAAATACATATTACTTTCTGACCTACGGATCGGTGATTCAAAGTACGGGCTTTAGTCTATAGAATTTTCTATTATTTTTTGAAAATCTGTTTATTAATTAGAACATCAAAATTGATCATTGCATTTGTTTAATAATGTTAAAATGCATGGTAGTTTGTACGTTTCTGGTGGACGATTTAAATTTGAAATTAAAGTTCAACAAAATGTATATATTATGTTACGGTATTTAATTTATTTACTTTGCCCCGATAACGTTATTTGTTCAATACAAATTTTACGTTTTGTATTTATTGGATGCTTAAAAAATAAATAAATTTGTATTGTTATGTTAATAATTTATTATTGACATTTAATTCAACTTGCTTTTCTTTAATTGATTATACTAACATCATTATTTCATATTCCTACAAGTGTCAAAAAATAACATTTCATCAATCAAAACTATTTGTAGTAAGTGTAAGTCGTAATCAACAGTTACGACTTTAACAAATATTATTATTGAACATTTGTTGATAATATGTTTAAATTATAGTAATCTTAATTTTAATAAAACAAACTGAATGTAGCTTTTTAAATGAGCAGAAATGGTTTATTGAATTTGAGTTTTCAAATTAAGTATAAAATTAAGCTCAGTTTCTAACTATAATAGTTCTGAAACAAAATTCAAATGACTCCTCTATTTTCGACCTATGTTAGTTTTATATCCAAACGTTGTCACTTTATGTCTGTTTCTTAATTTATGTTCAACTATGTTCTATGTTATTTAAATTAGAATTTTCCTTATCGTAGCTTTATTTTAGAAATATTAACATGCAGTTAACCTTCGCGATTCAGTCAAAGTAAACTATGTATAGTTGATACTATGTTTTTAGGCCAATTGTTTGTCAGATTGTTTTATGTACAAAAAATGGACATTCAATTTAAGTTAAAAAATGTAATGATAATTAATACCAACAATAGGTATTATAAAGTCTAGCCCCCCCCCCCCCCAAAGTATAATTGACTTACATTTTGTATCTTATAAAGTTGTATAGATTCTAAGCTTGGGTATAAGCTTCGTCAGCTCCAAATTAAGTATACGGTTACATATTTATAATTATGTCATAAATCATAATGTTATAGCTATAGTCACTCAACTTTTTCGTATTAAATAACTTATGATGAATCTTTTTGTGCTGAAATTCTTAATGAATGTATATAAAGGGACGTAATTCTGAAGATAACAGACTTATCTTTTATTATAACATATTTATAGTTCTTAACAATAGCTTTTACAAAATATTTGTATGATGATTCTTACGTAATGAAATTCTTAATGAATTTATATTAAGGGACGTAATTCTGAAAATAATAAAATATGCTTATATTTTAATTAATAATCATGAATTGTTCATCAATTGAACCTTACCTATTAATAATTTTGTGATGATTCTTACGTAATGAAATTCTTCATGAATTTATATTAAGGGACGTAATTCTGATAGCAACATACTTATCTTATATTTTAACTTATAATCATAGGTTTTTATTAATTAGCTTTAGCTATGATTATTTCTGATGATTCTTATGTAATGAAATTCTTAATGAATTTATATAAGGGACGTAATTCTGAAAGTAATAAAATATGCTTATATTTTAATTAATAATCATGAATTTTTCATCAATTGGTTTTTACCTATTAATAATTTTATGATGATTCTTACGGTAATGAAATTCTTCATGAATTTATATTAAGGGACGTAATACTGATAATTTATAAGAGTTTTAACATACCTTATACTTATGAAATAATGTAATTTGTAATTCAAAAGAAACTGTACATTAACAAGAAAAAAAGGATAATTTTTTTATTGTCGATAATGAACTAATTATCATTATAGCTTAGTTGCAATACTGAAAAACTATTAGATTATTTACTTTACTGCTGGAATTATATTTTTATGTTGAATCTTTACGTACTGAATTATTTAATGATTTTTTATAAAGAGACGTAATTCTGAAAATAATATAGGTATCAAAATTTGTATGGTATTTCTTTTACTTTTTGAAATACCAATCAATGTAACATACGTGTTCTTATACGTTTTTAAATTAATATATGTATATATGTGTTCTCGTTTTCAAACATAAACTGAAAGTAAATGATGATAATGTGGCAACCATTTCCCTCTCTTTGATTTATTAATATACGTATAAAACAAATTTTGAAATGCCCGTGAGAAAAATATAAAAATGAACAACAGGATTTTCGTCATAATATGATATAATAATATTAGTCTTTATAGTTAATATTATTTATTGAAGTACCAACTGTTTATTTATCTAAACACCATACAATTATTACTGTATTGATAATATTAAATGTTGTTTTTTTAGCCACAAGAAATTAAAGAAATTAAAGACTTCTTGCTGAAGGCTAGGAGGAAAGATGCAAAATGTAATTATAAATGCAATTATCAAATGATATCCTTTAAAAGAATTATGTAATTTTTTTTTATCTATTTCTTAAATAGCTGTTAAGATCAAGAAGAATATTGAAAATGTAAAGTTCAAGGTACGCTGTTCAAGGTTCCTGTATACCTTGGTCATCACAGACAAAGAAAAGGCCGAGAAACTTAAACAATCTTTGCCACCTGGTATATATATATGTTTTATTATTATTATTATTATTTATGTGGAATTAGAACAAAATACATCACTGAAGGCAATGAAAACTGAAAATTGCTTTTTATTATAGGGACAAAGTATGGGCAACATAGACAATAAATGATCAAGTAGTCATTTTAAATATGCCAACTTATGTTTAAGTCTGGTCTATATTTGAACTATTTTTGTTTTTTGATGCAGGCTTAATTTCTTTAAACAATTGGGTGGGTGTGCCAAATTTGAACTGATCTGTTTGATGAGAGCATGTGTGCCGCAAAGCTTTCGAATTATAGATCTATCTTATTACCCTTGTACATTTTTGATAAGAAAAATTATGCATTAGTGTTTTTATTAAAAGCAAGCTGTCCGGACCCAGTGCTGCCCGGGATTTAGTTTGCCTGTGCTGAGTAAAATGATATGATATCACACTTCTTATTAAAACAATATCTTTTCATTTTCTGATTGAAAAACACTTCAGCTCCGTGTTTATCCAAGATGAAGTATTGTTTTTGTTGTCCAAAGAACCTATTATTGTTAACTAAATGATTTTACATGGGTAACACCTATTTAAAACCAATAAAACGCCTTAACAATTTTACTGATTCTTAACTATTAAAATATTGCACATATTTTTTGGATCTATTTAAACAATCCTCAATTACTACTTTTATAAAGTTAAAATGAATATATATGTATATTTTATAACTTTTACTAGTATTTCAAAGGCCATACCAAAGTTTTCAAATTTATTAAAGTAATTGAGTGAGCATCCACTTTAAAGAAGAAGTTAAAATAAGGTTTACGTATCCATTTTTATGAACACATCTCTAAGCGGTGTGCATGTTTTTTGGATTTAGTTTTAATTTTGTATGTTGCGCTTCCAAATAACTAGCGTTGGTGTGTGGAGGGACGACCAACGTCTGTTACCCTAAGTTAACTTATTGTTCATATGCTACCATGTCGCATATGAAGATTTTCATTTAGCCTAATGAATAATAAATAATAATGATGTACATAAATATTGTCAATATTATTTTACATTTTTTAAATTAAAATATAGTATTAATTAATTTCTTTGTTACAGGTCTTCAAGTCAAAGAGATAAAATGTAAAAAGATGAATACAGATGACAAGGAGAAGAAATGATTGAGTGACTGTGAATAATTGACGTTTATATATAAATATAATTAATTTTATTACACATCATTATTATTCTTTTTTTTTTGTATATAATAATGCCCCATCTTATTTTCATATATAAGCATGAAATTAATTGCGTTTAAAAGGTTAAATTTTAAGTATTAACAAACTTGTATTTCTGAACATTTTAATTGAGATGGTGTACACCAAGGCTGGTGAATTTAATGACTTTATATTGGAGTGTTCTTTGGGGCAAATGAAATTGCTGGTGTACAAGAGTTTCTTTACAAGGTAAAAGCTAATGTTAACTTAATGACTTAAGTTTATTAGCTTTTGCTTAGACATTTATTATATTTTAGACAAATAATTTGTTTAAATTTAAACCTTATTTTGTGATGCTAGTACTATAATAACGCTTTAAAAAAGCGTTTTTGTACATTTGGAGGAGTATGCTTACCTACTGGGACGATAGACTTTTTAAAAAAAGTCTCTTTTAAAAAGCGGTTTTCGACCAATATTTGAATGAATGTTTATATAGTTTTTTATTTTTATAATATCTAATGAGTCCAAGAAAATATAATCAAACGTAAATACATAAAGTTATCTATTGTTATTTAATAATAATTTATAAGCTATTACAGTAATCTCACAAACGTTTAAACATCTTTTGGCGATAAACTATTTGTGTCTGAACTTTTTGTTTAACAATAACAAGTAGGTAGGTGTTTTTATTTTGTTGGTCGTTGATTGTTTAATATATTCTTCAATCGATCCTACTCCTCACTTACTTGTAACTTACTCGTTCACTCTAGCTCACCCCCTAAGTACGATTGATTAACCAATGTCGAATATTGCCAATAGCTCTTAAGTTTTTAAGCCCCTTAAGAAAGAAACAATCGTTTATTTTAAATTATTAACAGACTGCCGGACTTATGACTCATTGTTCAGTACTTGGTATAAGTATACCTATAATCTTAAATGTTATAATACATCAAAATTGTAAAACAATATAATCTAACATACTTTTTCAAAAACAGCGAAACGGTTAGTTTCGAAATTTGCGTGTAAACATTATTAATAATTTTGAACAGTACCAATTTGCGCCAAAATGTATTTCCATTGCGGCGTACGCAGTTTTCCTAACGTTGAACACCTTAACTTGTAAATCATATTATCCCTTTATTATATATGTATATAATGTGAACTAACCTTGTTTATGGGTTATCTTAAGCGGTGGTCGAGGTCAATAGCACCGGACTCTTTATGATCGAAAAAAAAAACCAAAATCTTATAACGCAACTGAATTTGTTTTTCCCTCTTTTTTTCGTTTTACCGAGAAGGAGACAATAATATAAGGACCAGGTAACCATTAAACCAACAAACGAAATCCACCGGTCTCGTAAAAATTATAATCCCCGTAATAATACCGGTCGTTACGATGTACCTATACCTATAGCAGCAAGGTTAGCTTAAGTATTTTTAAGTGTATCCTGATACAAACGTTTGTGCGCCTATTTATTTTTATGGCACGCACAAATCCCCAGAAATCTTCAGTTATTAATATCGAAGGTCAGAGTTTTTACGCATAACAAACTAAAAAATAGGTGGGCCAAAGAGTAAAAACTCATGGAAGACCGAAGAAACTTATCCATAGTGTTACATATTTTTTTAATGTTTTAATAAATTATATATATTTTACTATAATATTGACCTAATATAAGTTATGTGGTGGACTAATATTGTCTAATAAACTACTGTCATTAAAATTTTAAAATAATTTATTTTGTTCAAATATTTTTGGTTAGAATTTCTTGAATTATGATATTATATTAACTGTCAAGTTGGTAATAAATAAAAAAACTAATGAGTATATATAGATAGATATCTATTACTTGACGTTATACGTATTTATTTAAACCGATTTCCAAACCACCCATGAGGTAGAGTATTTGGCTCGTTTTTGTTAACGTGGTATCTCCATGTATGATGATAATGGTATGTATAGTGGAGGTGTCTTTACTTTAGTAGATAAATTAACTTAGGTATAATATCATCGGACGTTCATACGACTTATCTGTGGGTACGCTTTTCGGACCGCATATGTACCAGATGTACTTGCTGGTCTTATTCTCAGTTTTTCTAGTTTTTCTAGTTTCAGTTTCTAGTTTTTCTACTAGAAAAACTAGAAAAACTAGAAAAACTAGAAAAACTAGAAAAACTAGAAAAACTAGAAAAACTAGAAAAACTGAAAATCTAGTTTTCTATCTTTCTAAAAAAAACTAGAAAAACTTCATTAAATAATAAGTAGTTAATAATTTTAATGTTAGCATGAATAGTCATTTCTAAACTTTAAATGTATGTTATTTAATATTATATAGATTCTGATAATAATTTCTAGTTTCTTTGTTTGTTAATTTCTTTTTCTTTTCTTTCTATCTTTTCTAAGAGAGAAAAGAGAGAGAAATGTAAAATACAAAATAATAAGTAAAAAATACTGTTTTATTGTTAAATCTTAAAAACTTTAAAATGATTTCTACAAAGATAACAAAGAATGTTTCTTACTTTTCTTTGTTTTTTTTGTTTTTTCTTTTTTTCTTTTTTTTTTTTTCTTTTCTTTCTTTCTTTTCTTAGAGAGAGAGAAATTGTAAAATACAAAATAATAAGTAAAAAAGACTGTTTTTTTGTTTTTCTTAATCATTTTATAATGATTTCTATATTTTATTTTTAAATAATAAGGTAGTTAATATATTTTAATTGTTAGCCATTTGAAAGAGTCATTTCCAAACTTTAAATGTATGTTATTTAATATTTATATAGATTGTGATAATAATACTTAACATTCCTATTACTACTATTTAAGTTTTTATTATTTGTTTCATTATTTGTATTTGCATTTATATTAATATTTTAAAAAGTGTTTTAAAATAAAAATCAAGATTCTTCATTTACATTGACAATTTAAAATTCACTATATCTAAGGTAATTATTTGGGGGGGAGGGGGGTTGAGCTAAAATAAAAACAAATTATGAAAGGATTTTGCCTATTTTTTCTAATAAATTATCACTTAATATTTTAGAAGGGGTGAGATTAAACTGAAAAAAGTTATAATAGCTTTTGCCTATTTTTGTCTATGAAATTTGGTCTATATTATTTTTTTTGGGGGAGGGAGTTAAATTTGGAAGAGGGATTAGCCCCTCAAGAACCTCTATTCACACCTTTATTACTGTCACTGAAGCCAATACATTAAAAAATTCATTTAGTTTGAATATTATGGGTAGTGGGAAATAATTTCCCTCTGCCCATACAGATATAACCTAAAATTACGCATGTGGATAACGGGCATAGGGAAATAATTTCCCACCCACTTTTAACCTAGTGCAAATAGAAAAAAAAATTTTCAAATATTTTTCCTAGTATCTAGGGCCTATTTATATGTTATCCTGAAAATTACATCCAATTGGTATTAATATTCGTCAACTGGTGTTCTCTCGTTCCCACCATAAAATAGTAGTCAACTGTGCATTTCGGTGTTAACAAGACGGCTGATTTTCCCCACTATAGTGTACTAGTGCATTGGCGGGGTCTCTGAATGGATTTTAAAATAATCTCATCTTAAAAATTCATCATTAATTACTCGTCATTAGCATAAACAATTTTAAACATTTTTAATCTCATCAATTCTGAGGTCTTTTTATTTTACTTTTAATGAAACCTTAGCGGTTGTTACATTAAAAACCAACGACTTAGACCAGACATAAAAAAATATCCGGATTTGTGTAGCGCGTTCTATTGGTTTAGCTGTGTGTACTTTTTCGATCTGAAAACGTACCACAGATGGCGCATCATTTGAAAATATATTGAACGCTTGTCAAAATCAAAACGAGAAAAATACACAACTAAACTTCACGGCTAGCTAGAACATCTAAATGCTTAATTTAAAGAATATGAGTGATTTTTATCATTTTGACAGGATCTTCACTTTTGAAATAACCTATTTTATTCCCAATATAAATCAAATAAAATACTGTAATAAAATATTATATTATGTAATAAAATACTGACTCACTAATTCTAAGTAGTATTTTCAAATTGATTGTTTAAATCCTCTAATCATTGAACTTAACCTCTTTGTATTCTCTCTTAGATTATCAAGTTAGTTCTTTCCAACGACATTTTAGATTTTCTAGTGTAACAGGCAAATTCAAGAAATTAAAAACAGCAAAAAGGAGATTTTTTAAATAAATTTGTTTTATAATTTATCAAAAATATAAAATGTACAATTGAATCAAACTTAACGTTAAATTAATAGCAGTACTACACGTGTACATATTATGTAGTCAATAAATAAAATAATAATAATAACGATAACGACGGCCGGATAATGTCCACGAGACTTCTACCTAATTAGTACTACTAATCGAATACAATATTATTACAAAAATAATGACAATTAGAACAATTTGACCGTTGGTTGTTAAATTATGTGCCAAGACAGTAAATGACTCTTAGAGTATTTGCATTACATTCTCGGTGTTAATAACAAATGATCAGGGACCAAGCGGGCCAAATTGAGGTGTTCAAATTTATTTTTAAACAACTGAAAGGCTTTGTCAGCTAAGTGGACTGATTTCATTTTAGACCATAAGAGCATGTTATCGAGGAGTTTCGACAAGACTAAGTTATAAGGATTTATATTTTATAATTATTGTCATACTTGATGCCATTATGTAATTTTGCTTTGGTCGCTGACGTACGGTATATTTTATAATGATTTTTAAAAAAATTGGCGAGTACAACCAACGATCAAACATCGACGGTGGTTTCTTCGGCGCCACCGTTATCATCATGCACATGCGTGCTAACACAAATGTACCAAACGAATATAATACTTAATATTTATGAAGAAACATAGTTTTAAAAAATATTCCTAAACGGATTTGCGTTATGCAAGTCTTTCGGGCGGCGTGACATCACCAAGTTTTCTATATGTCGGTCGGTGAAGTCACGCCAAAGTCCCTGTACTTAAAATACTTTAAGTAGCCACTTGTATCTATCGACGGCGCAATTTTCATATTGCACAAAAAAACATATGTATCATGGCTAGATCAACTACAAAGCCAAATAACAACTTAGTTATCGGTTCTATGCGAATATCAAAAGTTGTATAAAATGTCTACAACAAGACAAACAATTTATCTTAAAACTGAAACGACTTTAATTGTTAATTTCTCCAAAATAACTTTTGGTAAACTGGACAGTGGAAGTACTTGGCCAGTGATAATATCGACTCTCGACTGTTCGAGTTGCGCCTATGACATCAACAGTATACAATATTCTCGTTATTAGACCATATTATCATAAACTTTCATTAATAATAATAATGTATATATATATATATATATTTACAAATTACAACTAACGTGTAAGGGAAACAATTATTACTTTATCGTCGCGACTTATTGTATTATTTTAATAATACTTTTCAATGGCATATTATATGTATACATGTTCAGGGGTAAGGTACGTGTCGATGACACCGTTATCATTTAGTTTACAATATAATGATAATAATAAATAAAACGTTTATCATATTATATAATAATCCGCTATTGTTACGGTGTCCTGAGCTTGATCATCAGTCTGGTCCGATCGGATGGATATGTGCTTGATCATGCCCTGTAGTAGTTGGACCGACTTCCTATGGTGTAAGTGCTAAGCGGTATGCAACCGGGCGAGAACATTTCTGACTGTTGCTGTTGCTGTTGTTCGTAGTCCACGTCATAGTAAATACCGCTCTGGTTCTGTAAAACCGATAGTGCAATATTGTGTGAGTTCAGTGTATTTTAGTTCGAGGTATAGTAGCGGAGAAAAGGCGGAGGAGTGAAACAGAGGTATCGGAAAACCGATTTAAATTTATGTCAAGAAGGTCGACTACAATTATTGTGGAAGGGAGGGAACAATAATTTTGGTACGGTTAAGCGAATTCAGAAAAATTATACAAGAGGACGCCAAGGTAATATCCACGATAAATATTTTGGTCAATCCCGAAGACGAAAAGTGTTCAACAAATGTGCATACAAATAATAGATGACTTGCAAAAACCACAGAAAACTAGTGTTAAATGAACGGGTCTGACAAAACAAATGTACAAGGATTAGTAGATGTACCAGGAAAGATCACGAGAGACACTAAGTTGCGATGGTTAATTCTAGTAATGGCTATTGTTCTAGTAATGGCTAGGGCGAGTATACTTACAGCGAGAGACGATCGGCTCTTGGGCCTAGATGCTTGGAAGCTGCGACCCAACAGGTCGGTCCTGTCTTCTTCTTCGCTAGTGCTGGATTCGGGAGTTCGGAATGCGTGGGACATGGTGCCGGTACCAGGTGGCCGGAGTCGTGGTAAGGGCATCGGTGCACCAGCATATCCAAACATATTAGAACGCATTGTCCCGTTGCCGGGTTCGGGCTGCAAAAATAATAACGTTTCAATCGATTTTCAACTCTAAACATGGTTTTAAATATCTAAATTTATTTCATTCGTCCCGTTTCGATGTTAAAAATTCATTATTTTGAGTACACCTAATGCTTAAACATAACGAAAATTAAGAGATGAATATTTGAACATATTAACAATTCGAAGAAAAATATGTACTTTACATAATGATGTTATTCTTTATGTGATTTTGTTTGCCATTATATTTAGGTTATGTTAGGTTAAGGAGTTATAGTGTGATCAGATCTGGTAATAACACTATTTTCGTTCAACTGTGTTGTTGGCTGTGGAGTCTATTAATCTTACTTTGAGGCCGGTAATGTTTGTAGTTAGTACTCATTCGTCATCACATAATATATCCTACCACTTACCTATTATTTTAGTATCATTTGCAATTTCCAATGATTTCACGTTCAACAATCATTATTTTAAGCCTTTTCTCTACCTTTTTTCCTTAGTGTTTGGAAATTAATTTTCTTCGGTAATTGTTCTTTTTTTCTCACCAATTTTAACTCTTCGTTATCTTTTCTCCTCATATGTCATACATTCTCTTCACCATCATTATTCTTATCACGGTTGCTTTCTATTGACAGCCCACTCATATCCGACAAACTGATGGATTTCATATTTCAATTATCCATACCTACAGTTTAACAGTGCCCGATAAGAGCCCAGTACTGTTGGGTTTACATCAGAATAATATGTTTTTTACTCCTAACCTAAGTGAATATAATTTTTACCAAAATTTGTCCAGAACCAATGCCTCAATTTTATCATTAAATTAGTGACCTACTGCGGCGGGTAAACCGCATTCACATTGTCAATTATAGACGAGTAACAATAATAATTTCATCGAGCAGTGTATACTTACGGCATAATGGTTTGCGTGCGCCATGGCATCGGCGATCTGAGCCCACCGCATGCGGTCTTCGATGGACACCTGGTAAGGCGGTCCGCCTATGACGGGCGTTTTCACCGTGCTCCCGCCGGTCGGCATGTACCCAAACACCGGCGAACCGACTTTCTGTTCTTTGTTCCACCGACGGCTCCAAGCACACAAGCACACCAGGGTAAGTACGATAATCGAAATGGCCGCGACCGAAGAGCCGACGGCCACGCTCAGCACTTCACCGTCGATCTCACACTGAGCGCCGTAGAAAGATCCGGAACACCTGCAAAATGATCATCGACCGCTCCCATTAGAAATAAATACAAATTAAGTAGACGGGTAAGTTAGGTTCTGTCTATAGAAAAAAAACCGACAATTTTAACTGCCCCTCCTCCCCCATTTAAGATTTTTTTTTTCTAATTGAATTTCCAGTTAGTTTCAGAATTAGTTTCCAATTTCGAATTTGTTAAATGGAAAAATGTTTATTTCCCATGTAAATTAAATACAAAATTAATATCACGAGAAACAATTGAGCTAGGGATCTGAAATTTTAGGGATTTCCTATTTGAATAGGCAATAGGTTACTAACAATTACAAGGATAAGCCGTGGGAAAATAAGTTAGGTTAGGATCGGTTTTATATGAGCAATTTTTTAAAGAAAAATCTTAAATGAAAGCAACAACTGTTGTATTAATTTATTAGAACAGTAATAATAATTCTTTATTGATGGTACATGGTACATATGATACATGGTACATATGATGGTTTTATAGCAAAAACAGCTAGTTTTATCGAAAGAATAGGTATTATGAGAATGTGATTATACACCAAAAACAATTATTCTTATAATGAATTTAAGTGCCGAAATCGAATTCATCACTTTTAGAAGAAGAAATCGTAAACTTTTAAGTCATTTGTAAAGAATAATTGTTTTTTTTTTAATAATTAATATATTCATTAACTATGAAAGGCGAATAAAAGTTTGTTGTATTACATTTTACAAATTTAAAAGGATAACCCGAGTTAGGATTAATGACCATTGTTTACAACTGTTTATATTAAAACTATATATTGAAATTTTAAAAAAACCGGTTCCATTTCTCCAAAAATAAAATTTGTTATTTTATTTTCTGGTCATAATTTTAGTATAATATTATAATGTTTGAATACTATGAAGTATACACGTTTGTTTTAAAAAAAATTATATTATAACGCTCAAGCTAGCTAAAAAAAACGTCAATATAACTATCAAACATAATTCGTTAACTAAAGCAGTGGTCTTTTAAGTTATCCACATTTGTAATTTGTTTACAATATGGTCCAAGTCTGTTTAAATATCAGTAGTACTAAATACATTCGATAATAATATGATTGCGTCTCGTTAATGATTAAAACAACGTCGTTAACGCTGTGCCGCCTTCGCACAAAGCTAATACAAATGTAGTACTGAAATAGTAATTCTCATTTCTCGAATGTACCGTTAACGGCACACTGTCGGTTGTTGCACACGTATAATATTATGTTTAGTGAGGTTTTGTGGGTGCGGTAGCAGTGGAACACGACCGAAAAGAACTAGGGTTAGACGCGTCTGAAAAATTCGTTTGGCTACAATATAACAGCTACTTCGGTATGATAAACAACCATTAAAAAAAAAGTTTTTTGATGTACCACATCAGATAGGTAATTAATCGTGGTAGCGTTTCGGTCGATTCCGTTTAGCGTCAGAATCCAGAACCATTACTAAAGAGCCTACTGAGTTGTGTAAAATAATGTCAAACACACACAACTAAATTATAGTTGACCGAACCTATTCATGATTGGTTTGAGGAAACTATGGTAAAGTACATATGAATTAGCCATTGTCATTTTATAAATCTAGATCATCCGCAGACGGACCACCCACGACTGTGACACCACACTAAACTTGTTAAAGCATTATTTGTCTTTCTTGTACAGATTAAACTTGCCGAAACTGAACTTTTTAATGTGTTCTTATTATTCAAACCTCAATTGACATGTAAATCCTAATTTCGATGCTTGTTCACACTTACTTGCAGACGGGCTGTCCGGCCTGGAAGAAACATTCACCGCGCAGGTTACATTGGGCCGGATCACAGGTCTCGCAAGTCCGGCCGCTGCGTTGTACATTACCAATCCAAGGATCTCTGTAGCCGTCGGGACAAGCACATTGGAACGTACCGAACAAGTTAGTACATTTGCCAAGCGGATGACAGTCGTTCAGCTCAGGACTGGCACACTCGTCTAGATCTGCAAGCACAAAATCAGAATTAATACTATTAGATAGTTTGTCCGGGTGCCAGAGTTGAATCGGAGCAACAGAGCGTTGTTCATTCAAGAGAGTTATTCAATGTCTTTCATTGGAGAGATGACATTTAAGCAAGCATTAATATGATTGAATAAAGAGTGAATAGAGGTGTACACGAAGCAACAGAGGATTAGGGAATGGCCAATCTCATTCATTGGTTGGAGCAAAGAATATGAAGGTTCCGTTGAAGTTGTAAAGATGTTTACCGTGCAACTGAGCAACAGCTCCAGCCGGCGAGTCAACCCAGAGATTGCTGGTGCCCACGTTGTTGTTGCGCCTTTGCAAAGCGCCCGTCAGCTGCTTTTGCACGTCTTGCTTGACGCTGGAACGCAAGTGTTCGGCGTTTTCTGTCAACTGCACCGTGGCGTTCACCATTACCGGCGTGCCAGGAGTCGTTTTTGACATGTAAACGTTGTTGATTTTGGAGCCCACGAACGTGTCCGAGAACGGTGTCATCGAAAACGCCGAATCGATCTGCGAACACAATATGAATTTGCCAGACAATTGCATTTTAGTTGCATAGTGTTAATATAATATTCTTAACACAGCAGAGATGTTCAATACAAGTTTGGGAATTTATAAAATATTTCCAAAATTGTAATGGTCGAATTATAGAAAAATATTACATGGTTTTCAGTTACACACCCCCTACATACCTGCCTATGTCTAAACTCTCTACAGGCAGCGGCGGAACGAACAAGATCGTAGCACAACATTAAAAGTGGAAGATGAAAGGCTTCCGAAACGTTGGCAAAGGCAATATAGAAATATAGGTGTAACCGAAAACCCTGTAAATATTTTAAACAACATATCCCATACAAACTGTAACCGACCGAATTATATAATTTGTATACAAAAATTACATCACAATCCTAAAACCAAAAAACCTATGAAGTGATCGTTACACCTTTTCTACCGCCTAACCACAAATTCAAATGTATAAAAGGCACGTCTTCCTCCTTATCATCTTTATTTCGTTCCCCATAATATTTTCACCTTCATAGACGTTTTTCAATAAAATCTTCTTCGATCTATCTCTTTACTCGTTTCCGATTACTCTTATCTTTATTAGCTTATATTTTTTTCTTTTTGTGAATGCATACCCAAAATGTTACAGTTCAATACTAATTATTCGTGCAATAAAATTCAAGGAATCCAATATGTATTCTCATGAATACATTCAAATTAATAACGAAATATCTTGCCGACTAAAAGCTTTACACCCACTAAATAATATTTCTAAAATAGTAAACAATGCTAACACCTGTCCATAAAACCGTCTGTCTTGCCTGTGGCTTTTACATAATGTTTTATACGCTGTAATTATTACATTGTATACGTGTTCTAACGGATGCCGAGATGCGTATAATTTTGTAAATATTTTTTAACAACAATAGGACACACAGCCTCTATTCCGTGCACGGTGAAAAAAACAATGCTACATCTTAAATAGCGGCTTATAAAGATATTTTAGTGACCGTAAAACGATAAAAATAATTATTGTTGCTGTTATTGCATTAAAAAAAAAAAAAACATTATGCTGTTTATGATGAAAACGCAAAACTGAGGACGACAGAATAGCTATTATTGTGTAATCCATTGTACGTACCGCTCTTACGGCTTCGTATTCCAACTGTTGATACTCTTGGCTCTCGGAGTCCTTGTATTTGTCAGTCCACGTTATTTTGGTGTCGTACAACCGGTCGACACGCAAAGAAAACACTATCGACACGATACCTGTTGACAAAAACGGTTTTCTTAGCAACATTATCGTTCATGCATTACTACACTATGTTTGACGGCAGCGAGACAAACGGTCTGTCGTGTGTTACTTACGGTGACACGGGTCCCTGTGCTTGCGCCGGCTGTACCCTGGTCTGCAAAGGCACGAGGACACGCCCATCTCGGTGCGACACCTTTCGTGTTGGGTCGCATCGCACGTGGAGTCGTCGCCGACAATGCAAGTGTCGATCCTGACCGGCGGATGTGTCGGTCGTTTCCAAGCCGGCACAGGAGCCTTTGTGCTAGCCGTTGCGGATCCGGACCCGGCCGCTGGGCCGTGGGGTTGCTGCAGTACTTGGCTGACCGAAAACGACCTGAAAACATAGCGAGTAACGTGGATAAGTGTTAAACGAGTCGGCAAGACGAGGACTACTAGTGGCATGGTAAATCTGTTAAGTTAATAAAAGATCAGGCTACGATAATATCATTAAAATCGTACGGGAACTCGAGCGAAAGGCGTTCAGAGTTCTTCAGTTCCAACAATTAATAGCGTACCTTGGTATTATCGCCTTCTTTTACTTAAGATACTATTGATAGGAGTGATTTACTACAACGAGCCTGATTCACAAAATTGAAGCATTCGATATCCTTTACTACTTATTTTCTATCATATTCCGTCCAATACATACATTGCATTACCCTCCATATCGCCAAGACTCGCACACTCGATACTGCTCGACCGAGCGCTATAATGTGGTTTTTTTGGAATTATTAAAAAATACAGTTTACGTTTTATTATAACAACACCTACTCCATACGGCCTGCTTTTTCGTTACAATGTGTATTAGTCCCAATGAAAATCTTACCCAGACGAAGCGCTGGTCGGTTTGATCGACGGAGGTGCTACGGCCGTGGGTTCCGGCGATCCAAATAGATTTATGTAAGTCCTTTTGCCGTCTATGGACACGTACTGTTGATTAGGCTCAGCCGAAGTTATCACAGACACTTCCCCTTTGCCGACACCCGACGGTGATATTTCGTCGGCTGCAACGGTCACGATTAATAAACGGATTAAAAACACATTATTTCAAAACCAATTGCGTTGCAAACAACATTTACTCGAAAGCTGCTGTATGTAACTGCAAAAATCTTACCTGTTATAGGTCCGGCTTTGTCGCCCGGTCCCTGAATAGCCGATACCATGATGTCGAATACGTCTCCTTTGCTTGGCACTTGCACTTGGATGGGTCGACGTTGGCCCCCGATATGTGGTTTGAATTCCGGGTCGTCCAACACGATGCCAGGACGTGAATAATACGGGAATCCCTCTGGAATACCAGTAAATTAAAACATATTTAATGTACACGCAAATCAAGTAAATTATAATCTGCTCGTCTGTACATAGTTATTTCATTCAGAAAAATTATCTAACGTCTTAAAAACTATTGAAAATTCCCATATATTATAAAAAAACGTATTAAAAGTAGTAATAATTATTTGTTTTTTGAAAATTTTAAAATAAAAGTTAAAAAAAAGTATAATTTATGAAAACTAAATGATAAAACCATATTTTTAATAAAAATGTACAGTTAAATTGGATCACTGAACAAAATAAATTTTATTGGATGGGTTAAACGGTCAAGGGTAGACTTACCCGACTGTTGTGAGGTTTTCTTCACAGGCGCTGTCGGTTTGACCGGCAACTTATTGTCCGTAGGCTTGTGCGTGTCTTCTCGATGTGGCACTTCGGAAGTGGACGGTTCTAGCACGACCACGGCCGACCCGACGCCAGTGATGAGTTCCGCGCCCGCGGTGGATTCGGTGGGTGCGGCCGTCGAGTTTGTGGTCGGTGATGTGGGTTTTGCCGTCGTCGACTCGATGGCCGGAGTGACGGTCACTTTTTCGACGTGTCCGGCCGGCGACGATGGGAACGCTGGCGGCGAAGACTGCAAGTGATTGACGATCTTGGACACCTGGACGCCGAGCACTCGGGTCGCGTTGATGTCCATCTGAGGATCGTCCGTGGCCGGTGGCTTTTCCGTCGTTCTGTCCCTGTCTGCCACCGTCGGCGCGGTCACTCTGTCCGGCACGGTCGCCCTTTCCGGTTCCGGTGTGCTCGTTCGGTTATACTGTTGGGACGCCACGTTGTAGTCCTGTTGTGGTTTGGCCGACGTCTGGTACGTGGGCGACGGTCTTCTAGATGGCGGGGGTGGCGGCGGCGGCTGCAAACCTATCTGGTCGTCGTACGAGGAAATCTCTTCGGTGGGCACCAGCTGTTCGGGTAGCGGCACGCCAGTCAAGAACGGTTTGACTAGACTGGGCGGTTGCGGAGGAAGCGTCCGGACGGGTTGCTGCGGTATGTCGAACGGGTAGGGAGGAGGGTCTTTTTGCAAAATTTTGTTATTGTTATTGTTATTATTGTTATTGTTATTGATACTTATGCTCTGTTGGGGCATGGGCAAAAACGCGGGCGGTTCGATCACGACGGGCGCGTCTGATATGCGGGGCGGGCCGCGATTGTTGATTCGCGACTTGGGCGGCTGTCGCATCCCTTGGGCCTGCTGTCCGTTCAACAATTTCACGAACCCGTCCAGTATGTCTTCCATGTCGCTGTTGCCGGCCTTACGGGTCTTCTCGGTACCCGCCGTCGACGTCGCACCCGCTAGCGGACGCTGTGCAGTATTGGGCTCCGTCGTCGGTACGAGTGATCTGCCACGCGACGAAGCCCTCTTGGCTTCCCCCGAACTCCGTGTCGGGCCCACGTACTCGTAATAGTACTGCGATGGCGACGTCTCCTCGTCGAAGACGACGGCCGCGGACGCGCCCGAAACGGCCGTCCTGTCAACGAGCCCCAACGTGTCATCCACAACGTCGTTCTCGTTTCTCGTCGCACAACGGCCTGCGCACGCAACCGTAGGCTCCGGTCGTTGGACTTCTGTCAGCGACATGCGTCCGACTCGGTGCGGCTCGTCGATCTCGTTTGAGTCGTGAGTTTTCGTCGCCGAGTCCAAGTGACGCCGCCTAACGCGCACTTGTTCTTCAGGTCGGTGGTCATTGCTCAGCGCTTCACCTGCAACGCACCAAAAGAATAACGATTAATACAATTATAGGAATCAAACTTAAACAAATAGGAATTATTATACATATAGATTATACTAAATTATAAGTAATTAATTATAAGAAACAAAGCAATAGTCTCTACCAAAAATGTTTAAAATTCAAAAAATATATAAGATTAACGCCGCCATTTAATAAGGCCTAAATCGCGAACACAACTTTTCAATTCTCTTAAATCAAATTATAACGAATGACAATAGTTAAACTTTCATCTTCCACGTACTCAACAACATTACCGTATTATAAATAAATAACTACAATTATTACAAGTTGGTTGATTCGTATGGTATAAAGTAATATGAGATAATATTTTTGTATTTTCTCTTAGTCTTAACGCGGTATTAAAAATTGTTTTTTAGTTTTTATGGCACAAACTATAAAATAGGGTTATTTAGTGTTTTTTTTAAAGTTTTTAGACCGTTGTTTTTTAAATGGCTTGACATTTTTTTTTTGTATACGAGTAATTGATTCCGTTTTTAACAAATAATTACACGTCATTTAAAACGTTTGTGTTCAGAAAAAAATGTACACATTTTTTTAAAACGTAGATTTTTTTTTTCTATTAATCGAATGATGTTTCAAACATGATAGTGTAAACAACGATAGCGCGTTACGCGTCAAGCTCATAAACACCGCTTTGACAATAACGCATCATTTCCGACCTCGGGTAATTCACGTGAATGTAAAAAAACAAATAAATTTACATTGAAAAGGGTGACAAAAAACCTGGATTGTGTAACGCAATGATAATAAAATATACCTAGCCGGAGACCGTTCAAGCAAGACAACAGTTTTAATGAATTCCGCACTCTGGTGGTCAACTGTTGTTTTAGCGCGACACAAAAACCGTTTTTCTGCGCCAACGACCGTTGCAAGACGAGATATCGGCCGTAACAGTGTAAACGGTTTCCCACGAACGGTCTTGTGGAGAAAAAAATCCAAGCTAAAATAATAAATAAATAAAAAAATTGACGACAACCAGTAGGCCGGTTATGGGTGACGCCGATGGTAGGTACTTTTAGGCGCACAACTATTTATCATTGTTTGTAGTCTTCCGGACATGATTTAATACCACCGAAAAGACCTCCTTGTGCGATACACAAGCACAGATCCCGAATTGCTGATTGTGCAGCCAAGCCCAACGCACCGCTCCCATTTAATTATAACAAGACGAGACCTTTTACATGACAAGGCGGGAGGCAAATGGAGGAAATGATGACACTTTGCCGTTGAGCTTTTTTCTAAGAAACTTGGAAATACCAAAAACGTATGCAGCGTTAAAAGAAATTAGTAAGACGTTACATCGTTTTAGACGACCACGACTAATTATTATTATCAATCATTAAGGAGTTATCTAACATTGGTAAGGATCATCGAGGATGTATTGTTATCGTTAAGAAGTACAACCAAACAAGATGTGGTGTATACCCAGACTATGATTGGTTCAATGGCGCCTAGCCGGTCGGATTCAAAAATTATAGACATGACAATTTGTTAAAATTTTAAGCACACATTACATTTAACTAGAATACTGTAACACCTTACACCCAATGAACTCGGCACATGTTCGCCGCCGCTGCTTTCTCCGGTCGTTAAATTTTTTTTTGCATTTGACTTTCACAAAACAATTGGATGATGTCATAACACACACACACACACACAAATTGGTTGTACTCTACAAGCGTTATAGTATAAATAAGTTATACAAAACAAAAAAACCAGAGGGGTTCCGTTTTATGACCGAGAGACGTCGTTACACCTAAATCACTTTCTCTTACGGTAGACAAGACAATATAATCCGAGAGCAGAGACCTAACCGCCGCAGCAGCTCACGTGTGTTGATGTTTACTTTTTTCCCAATGTTAATAATACATGTATAATAAACGTACATATATTATCCATATTGTATTATATCTCTTTCCGCTTTCTTACGCCGTGGCAGTATAGGTATAGTAATACGTGTATCTATATTAAGTACACTATTTAATGCACACGAGACACACAAATTAAGTCAGTCGTCCGTGCCACAACCCGCGTTAGTTCCGGCAAAATTCCCAATAATTGCTTCATTTCCTAATAAATTCGCGCCTGCTTGTTTTGCACCGCACCGAGGAAGAATGTCATTTTCGACCAATTCAATTAGCCCAGTTACCAATTTTTGACCACATATGTATACAAACCGTACAATGGATAGCTGACTGGGAAAACAATTATTCAGATAATCACAAAAAAAAAAAACAACAGACAACGTGCGAAGAATGTCTTTAAATGACCTACAGCAACAGGATTTTTGTAAAACTTTAAAAAAAATCATCAAACAGTCTGTTTGAATATCTAGTGTGTCTTTCAGTTGACCTATCGATTGTATGCAAGTGTGCCTAATGTTAGTGAAACGGTTTTTGTAAGTTTAAAAGAAAAATACTTGTAGACATGTTTGAGTGTATTTGCATTCAGAATCTTACACTAATCACGTCATCCGTCACACTCATATAAGATTATGCCTAATAATTTTGTAGGCACTTAAATGGTGTTTTTGTTTAATACGAATATTTAAGGTTTAAATATTATATTTTTTTTTTACTATAAGGAAAATGCTAATAAGTCCACTATTATTTTGTATTAAAAATTCACAACAAGTGTTAAAATAAAAACCACCTATGCGAGTCAAGTGAATCACTTTTGGGCGGATATCCGAATTCCGATTAGAGCCCACTCGTGGTCTACTTAACCGGACTCTGCTACCCACCTTTTTTGAAAAGTCACGGGGCATCTACTACCTTACCCGACCGTTGCTTTTCATGATTACAACTCTGATAGCTTACAACTCTCCAATTTTCCGTATCTCTTTCACTCCTTCGTCTTAATTACATTAATTTTATTACATTTTTCAATACATACATTTTTTATGAAATTTAGTTTCATATTAATTTTAATACTGCCAAGTTTTGCACGGGTCTTGGCCATCACCCACACCATCCGCGTTAACATGTCTAATAAATTATGCTTTCTAAAATGTCATCTTTATTTTACTCATTATTCGTTTATTATGAGCGTGACGAAAAGTTTTTTTTTTTTAATATTACTCTAGTCTCTACCAAATCTGTCATTTTTTTTTTTATTATAAACTAATTTTTGGAACGCAATAGACCTATTATAAAGATAGTTAATTTTTTTGACGATAAACTATTATAACACATTTTACATGATACGTACACGGTTTCGAAACGAGTGACTTGAGTAACATTCCAATTTGTCTGCGTGCGTTTTTCTATTAATATAACAGTGTTACTAAAGGGAACCGTGAAACAATGCGTTAACGCTAAACAAAAAAAAATGTTTATTTGTGCAATATTAATTGTTTTTCTTTTTTACCATAGATCCCGTTTTAATGTTTTTCCTAGAGAAAATTCTTAACTCAGATGATCAAAAATATAATAGGATGTTTAACAAAAACATATTATATTCTATCAATAGTGATCATAATAATTATATGCGGAAACAAATCATAAAACAATAAAATATTTTCAAAACAAATTTTCAAAATTGTTTTTTATTAATGGTTTTTTTTTTTCAAGGCATAAATTAGAAGAATAGTATTGACAGATTTTGTTTAAACTTGTCATCTTAAGTTAATTATTAAAATCTCAAAAGTCACATTGTTTAGAAATTAGTTAATATTCAATAATGTTGAAACCTATTGTTTACTAAATAGTTTTTTAACTACCTTAATGTTTTGTTAAAGTTCAGACAAACTGCTTCTAGTGAAAACAATTAATAAGACAAAATTAAAAACGTAAATTGTGTTTGGTGTTAATAAATGTATTAACTCATTAACGCGTTCGTATTATTTCATGGTTGCGTTGACCTAATTGGGTAAAATTAAAAAATATAATATTTATAATAAATAATAAATCATAGATAATTAGAAAAGAACCAACCATGTTTATTATTAAATTTATATAATATGTAGTATGCATTGTACAATTAAAAGTGTTCAATAAAAATAAAAGTTGTTATAAACTTATTTGAAACATATAAATTACATTTGCTCTATTTATTACCCGCCTGACTTCTTTTAAGTAGGGTTTTTTTTTATAAATAAAAAATTGAATCTGTTGTTAGGTACTATTTAGACAATATATAACAAAATATAATAAATCAAAAATTAAAACAAATATTCAACGTGTGTCGACCAATAATAGTTTGGGACAAATAACGAATAATTTATACATCATAACTAATGGAATAATTGATTTTGAATAAAAGATAATTTCTTGTTTATCGCACAAACCAGTTAAAAAAAAATTGTCAAGTTATGCCCAACTCTGTTTGTAGGAGTATAGAAATTGAAATAACTGTAATCGAAGACACCTTCTCGGGTTCGGGTCGAAACCAATAAAGATCGGTGGTTCGTTTACCTAAATCCCCAAGCGTTTAGTAAACGTCAATATTGGCGATCAGCGATTTATCAACTGAACTTTAACGAGCCATTAAATTGATACATTTTTCGTGCAATGGTGTTAATGCGTGTAGTACCGTTAAAGAGCGGTTATTCGTGATCCCATAACCGAAACGGCTAAAGGTGTCGACTGTGGCTAATACACGTTGAAACCCAGTTAGGCGATGCTCTACTCAAGTACCCGTTCTGGGTATTGTTCTGAACGCTGCGGTTTAAATTGCAGTGGAAAAAAAAAAAATACTTGATAATAATAAGATTCCAATAAGCACACCGTAAACGTTTCGGATGTGCAACGGAAAACGCGGACGGGCTGCACCCGGCCACAATTTCGCATATATTATAATAACATTATCAATGTCCGTGTTTTGGTAATTAGTTCTACATTCCACGGGTGTGTTCACACGTGCATCACATATCGTTCAAGGTTGCAGGCTAGTAATTTTTCCCCATAATATATGCTTTAATCGTTCTACGAATATCGTTACTGGAACGCA